CTAAAACAATCATAAGACCAAGAAAACCTTAAAATTTCGTTGTAAATTTGAACAAAATGCGTTTATCAAAAAAGTAAAATAGTAGACTAACAACAAAGTTTACAAAAGTAGACTAAAAACAAAGTCTACAAATGTAGACTTCTTATGAAGTCTAAATTATAAGTTACTTTTGCAATTACCAAAAGATGGGTAGACTTCTCCAAGAAGTCTACTCGAGAAGTCTACGTAAAAAGGGTTAGTTTTGCCATTGACCAAACTTTGACTTTTTCGTAAGAAGTCTATTCGCAAAAGTAGACTTCTCGTAAAAGTAGACTTCTTCGGAGAAGTCTACTTTGATTCTTAGAGGTTAGTTTTGCAATTGACCAATGTTAACTTTACAGAGTAGACTTCGTTTGAAGTCTACGTGGGCTAGTTTTGGAGTTGACCAAACATTGAATTAATTTCCAAGTAGACTAAGTTTACTTTCTAAGTACTTCAAATGAAGTATAATCGGAAAAGTCAACATTGGTCAATTGCAAAACTAACCTCTAAGAAGTCTACTTTTGCGAGTAGACTTCTTATGAAAAAGTCAAAGGTTGGCCAATTGCAAAACTAATTAACCCCTTTTTACGTAGACTTCTTTTGAAGTCTACACCATTTTTTTTGTTGTCAAAGAAAATGGCGCAGACTTCAACCGAAGTCTATTGTCAGAAATTAGTACACACTGTCAATTGCAAAACTAACATGTGTGTTCGGTAGCAGACTTTTTCTGAAGTATACAACCGAAAATAGACTTTTTAGGAAATCTACTTTCGAGACGCAGATCTGAAAACTCACGAAAATTGACTGAAAAATCACATATCAATGGTATTTAGCTTCTTCAACCACCGATTTCTTTGATTCTTGCCACCACCAAACAAGTCCAATCGATTTGCCATACCAAATCACTTGATATGGTAATATCTTAGAACATCAAGTTTTGAGAAGTTAAATTAGAGAGTTTTTGTGCTGAAAATGAAATTTGTTTTTGAAGAATTGAAGGTTAAGAGTAGAGGAAATGAGCTTACAAAGCAGAAAAGGGTTGTTGAAGCAATAAAAGCTTCAAATTGGTTGAAAATGGTGGTTAAGTGAATTGATGTCAATGACATTTTCGTGAATTAATAAGTAGGATGAGGATTGTTTGGTCAATTGGATTTTTAAAAATTAAAAAAATAATAATAATCTGATGGCATTTTCGTGAATACATGAAATAGATAAGGATGGAATTGGTAAAAAGTGGCTAATGTTAAAATGGATGAAAAGAAAAATTACATTTGTAATTGACTTCAATTTATGAGTTATATTTTCAAGAAGCCCAAAAAACTATAATACAAAAAATATCAAAATATTATAATAAATATTTCTATTGTAAAATCTGAGCGTATGCAATAATGTACGAGTAATTTCCTAGTGAAATTGAAAGTAAAGAAAATAATGGATCATAAAAGGTACACTGATCATCTTCAATTGTTACTTATAAATTTAACTTAGACAGCTTGTATAAATTTGGTAATAATCATGCTGTGTATATAATGTGCGATTGTAGCTTATAAATATAACACATTAATTTTACTTGGATAATGTATAGTTTTGAATAGGGGAAAGAGTAAAGCCAAACAAAAAGTGTATATCATGTCGAGGTAAGAGATATATATAATATATATATATATATATATATAAAGTTATAAACTAAAACTGCTAAGAGTGAAGCCAACAAAGAGAGTGTACTACAGAGAGAAAATTGTGAAAATGATCTAAAATAAGAAAATAATGTGAAACAAGTATTCTACTGAAGAAAAATTGTGAAAATGATTTTTTTAATGATTTTTATAAATATCAGTATTACTTTTCTAACTATTTTTATTTATAGACTAATGATACTGAATACTACTGACAGACTGATTGATTATACAATTGAAAGTAGACTAATGGCAGACTAACAGCAGATTAAAAGCACACTAATAGACTCTTTTTATAGATTTTAAAATGATACATGTTTCATATTAAAGTTGCCAAATAGGATATTTCAAACATTATTTAATTAATAAAATTGTAAGCGTGCCCTTTTTAAAAAGTTATTGTACAACTATATATCTCCAATTAATAGTATACAAAATTGAAATTCTAAATAAATAATAATTTAAATTAGGGAAAAAATCTAATACAAAAAATATCAAATTATTATAATAAATATTTCTATAATAAAATCTGAGTGTATGCGCAGGTTCCTAGTGAAATTGAAAGTATAGAAAATAATCAACACAACAATAACACAAGTGTCTCTCCATAGCTTGACACATCAGCATTTTCAAGTTTTTAGAAGATGACACTTCAGCAAAAAAAAACACCAATAAAAACATTTCATTAATACAAGTCATCAATTTATTTTAACTTTTAAATTTATACCCATTAAAAATCCAAATATTTTTTATTGTTAATTTTAGTTTTATTTTTTTGGTCAAGCCCAAACCCAAATAATAAATAACAACAAAAAAAAATCAACACAACAATAACACAAGTGTCTCTCCATAGCTTGACACATCAGCATTTTCAAGTTTTTAGAAGATGACACTTCAACAAAAAAAAACACCAATAAAAACATTTCATTAATACAAGTCATCAATTTATTTTTTTGCCAAACCCAAATCCAAATAATAAATAACAACAAATAATAAAATTAAATCTTTGTTTTATATTTTTGCCAAACCGAAACTCAAATAATAAATAACAGCAAAAAAAATTAAAATTTATAACTATTGTGTTTGCTTGATAGAGACATATATGATTGAAGAAAGTGTAGACTCATCATCAACTATGCTTCCATAACAACAATGCAAAAAGCGTTATATTATAAGAAGCTCACACATCAGCAAAAATTTAAACCAATAAAAACATAACAATAACACATATTATCAACACACTAATAAAATCAGTTTACTATTTTGCTGATCCATTAAATTGCCCAAAATTTATAAAAAAAATGGAAGTCGAAAGCAAATGAGGAGAAACTCAGACCACCACAGCTTCGAGATTCGCATTTCCACTGGTTGCCGAGAACAATTTTTTTTGGGTTTGGCGGGAATAGAGAATTTCTTGGTTTTGGTAGAAAAATGTGATTTTCAGTTTTGGTAAGAAAACATAATTTCCCGGTTATGGCGGAAAAAAACGAATTCTCGGGTTTGGCAGAAAAATGTGAATTTTTGGTTTTGGTGAGAATTTTTTTTTTGATTTTGACGAGAAAATGCAAGGGAAATGCAACTTTTCAATTTTGACGAAAAATACGATTTCTCGGTTTTGATAGAAAATGCAATTTTTTGGCTTTTGATGGATAATGTAATTTCTTGATTTTCGCGGAAATTTGTAATTTGACAATTTTGGCAGAAAATGCAATTTCTCGGGTTGATAGAAAACAAAATTTCTCGATTTTAGCGGGAATAAACAATTTTTTGATTTTGATGGGAAATGCAAATTTTCAGTTTTTGACATATAATTTGATTTTTTGGTTTTCGAGGGAAAATATGATTTCTTAGTTTTCGCGGGAAACACAATTTTTCAGAAGATAATGCAATTTTTGGTTTTCGCGGGAAATTGTAGTTTATCGGTTTTGGTAGGAAGGCGTGATTCTTGATTTGACGAGAAAAATAATTTTTTCTTGTTTTAGTGGGAATAGACGATTTCTCGATTTTTGCGGGAAAATATTTTTTTTTGGTTTTGACGGGAAAATACTATTTTTTGGTTTTTGCAGGAAGATGAAATTTTTTGGTTTTGGTGAAAATTTTGATTTCTCTGTTTTGACTGGAAAACACAGGTTCTCGTGGATAATGTGATTTCTTAGTTTCGTGGGAAAATAAAATTTCTTTTTTTTTGTCGGAAAATGCAATTTTTCGGTTTTTGTAAAAAGATAAAATTTCTTTGTGCTAAATTTTCAAGTTACAATATGTTTATAGTAGCCAAAATTGAATTATTTAACTTCAACTAAATTGATATTTCAACAGTTCAAATAGAACTTTCTATTTAATTCTAAAGTAATAGTAATGATTTTGATATGAATGTTATAGATTATAGTTTGATAGTTCTGGAAACATATGTTTATAATAAATATTTGATAAATAAATAAATTTTATAATTTAAAATAATCATATTAATTAATATTTTTTTAAATGATAATTTGCTTTATATAATTTCAAAGGAGGATCAAGTAGCAATTTAGTAGAGAAAATAAATTACATTTACCATTAGCATGAAGATACTTAAAAATGTATTGTTTTATTCTTACATATACATTTATAGATAGTTAGCTAAACTAATTTAATAGCTAAACTAATTTGATAGTACATTATAATTTAAAAAAATAAAAAATAAATGATATATAATATTTATTTAGATTTAAAACATATAAATACATAACTTACGGTAATAAAAAATAAGTATAACACTCATTTACATTATAGAAATAATTTTATTATATTAAAAATATATATAAAATCTAGAAAAATATCCCTAAGTGTAACGCATGTAAATACCTAGTAGATCATAAAAGGTACACTGATCATCTTCGATTGTAGATTATAAATTTAACTTATAGCTTGTATAAATTTGGCAATAATCATGCTGTGTATATGATGGGCGATTGTAGCTTATAAAGATAACACATTAAAGATAAACAAAAAGTGTATATCATGTCGAGATAAGAGAATATATATATATATATATATATATATATATATATATAAAGTTATAAACTAAAAGTGCTAAGAGTGAAGCCAACAAAGAGTGGACATATATATCTTGTCGAGATAAGAGACATATATAAAAACTAGTGCCAAACTGCCAACATCCCAGAAAAGGAACCCAACTGGTAATAACTAAGGATATATATATGATGACAGAAATGAAGAGTAATCAACGCGAGTAGTTAAGAGATTTATGAGTACTACATCAAACCATGAACTCTCTCTAAGTTACTACAACAGCACAAGACTCTACGTAATCCAGGAAATAGTTTCTGGAGTAAAATAATTAGAACGGGTTACGTCAACTTCAATATCCATGGTCTTAAAACTACCTTCCTTGTGATTGTAGCAGGTAACATCAGCCCCAATGGATTTGGAGGGTGCAAAAATAAACTCACCAATATGATTAATACCTTTCATTTGTAAAGAACGTTCAGGAACTTCATAGAAAGACATCTCCAAGAAAGGCTGTTTCCCGGCTTCGATAACCCACAAATCATTTGCTCCCTCACTGGTGATAGTGCGTGCAGCTACTTTGCCATGGTAGTTTAACAAAACTGGTGGACCTCTTGTACTGAAAAAACTAAATCCGTCAGGTATTCTAACAAAGATATCGAACTTTTCAGACTTCACATCGAATCCCACCAAACTCATTCTTGTGCCCGTGTACGCGAGGTAGTACACAACTCCATCCATACACAGAGCATTGCTAGACCACGGGCTGTGAGGAATGCTACAATCGATCATTCTCCATGATCTTGATTTACCTCCCAATGTGAATACTTGAATGTCAGACGATGGGACTGCACAAGAATCGCCTGGCTTCATGCACAATACCTTATACTCATCATTGACTGGATCATACCCGAAAAAACGTCTGAGTAGGCTCGGCCTACTGGTTTTGATTATTGGACATTTTTTGGATTTACCGGTGCCAGGGTTACATATGATTTGTCTCTCACAATATCCAATGCTCACTAACCCATTGACATAACTCACCTCGGTATCGTAGTGGTGTCCCCGTTTTGTGAGGGTGCATGTTATCCTCGATAGAAAAGACGTTGACGTTGATGTTGACGAGGACGACCATAAGGACGAGAAGAAGTACCAGCTTAGGTGTCCTGCTTGGTAATCTAGTTCGCTGAAAGAGATTAGGATACGGCAAGACTGATTCAAGGATCTATGGGGAAACGATCTGATGAAATCTTTGCTGCGGATGATTTTTGCCCATGATTTCGATACGAGGAGAAACCTACCTGCGTATTTCAAAGGTAGTCGATTAAGAATTTCGATCAGTAGATCCACAGGAACAATATCGGATTTCGTCTTGTTGCAAAGACGAAGTTTTCTTCTCATTGTCGAAAACCTTAATTAAGATGTTTACAGCTCTTTGTCTTCGCTTGCTCTTATAAATAAAGAGGCATAACCCGAGTCGGAATTGGATCTTGCCTAACCGGATCGGGTCTAGTGATGATCTACGCGGAAGCAAAACCCTACCGAATAAAGCGAGTCATTTTATAGTTAAGATTAATTATGCCTTTTTTTATTTGCAACGTAGATTTATGATAAATTCTTTAATTTTGTCCCTATTTTTTTAGTTTATTAATCATTCATCTATACAAATGAAAACACTTGTTTGGGGCTTCTCAAGCCATCCAAATCAGCATTTTAAACTTTCACCACAATTTGCCATGTCAGTTTGTGTTCTTCTTAATTTTCGTTCATTAATTCTAACTAGGTGAGTATCCGCGCTACGCGCAGAATATGTTTATTGTTAATTTTTTAAAGTTTTTATATAAGTTTAATTTTATTTTTATTTTGATTAATCAGAATATAAAATATGTACTATATTTAATTTATGTTTGATTTTTTTGTTTTTAATTTATTATTTTTGATATGTATATATAATTAGAGATTATTTAAAGTTAATTGTTTTAGATTATGTTGTTGAAAACATACAGTAATCGATTGTGGTTGTTGTAAGTCATAAACATGCACTCTCAATTTATTTCCCCTAATTTTTATTAACGAAGAGGGGGAAGCCATATGAATGGCTTTGCAATCATTATATGCAGTGAAGTTTTTTTTTGGTACCTATATGTAACTAATAATTTTGTTTTGTTAAACAGCATATTCGTTTTATTATGAAAGATTTGTGTATAAATATTTAAATTGTTTTTTAGTCAAAAATATTTACGAATAATAGATATGAGGAAGTTAAATAAATACAGTCATGTAATATGTCACTATATCCACTATTAATCTTTTTAATCAGTTGCTGTTCTTCTTTCTGCTTGGATGAATATTTCTTCCTGTTGTGTCATTGTAATTTGAAAGGAAAGTGTTAGAAGGATTTTTATTTGTTATATTTTTTTTGTAATGTATAGTATATTTGTATGCTTGTGCATTTTCGAACACTAAAAAATATAATTATACTTACTTGATTGTCGATATACATTTCATTTAAACGCGAAGTCCTTCCTCGATATTTGCAACTCTTCTCCCACCTTGATCATTTTCAGATGTGTTAAAATCTAATTATTCATACATTTTGTTTTTGATAATTTATATTAGACCAGAAATAGTTGTTGTCATACCTCTACTTTCAGACAAATTATTGTTGAAAATTTCTTTGTAAACAATGTTGGTGATGCCGTTCACAGCATTTTCTGTCGATGTCCTATTTAAGATTTTCAATCTTTCCATTGATGTGACTCTTGACAAAGCAACATAGAGTTGTCCATGACTGAAAACTGATTTTGGAAGGTATAATCCCACTTTCTGCAAGCTTTGTCTTTGGCTTTTGTTAATTGTCATAGCGTAACATAGACGTAATGGGAACTGTCGCCTTCTCAATTTGTAAGGACAATTTGTGTCTGATGTTGTCAACACTATCCTTGGTATAATGATCATTTTTCCCACATTTTCCCCAGTTATTATTTCAGCTTCAACAATTCTTTTGCCTAACCTTGTTATCAGCAACCGTGTACCATTGCACAATCCTGCTTTTTGGTTGATGTTTCGCATCAACAGTACCGGTGTATTGTACTTCAGTTGTAGTTGATGATTCGGTAGACCTGAGCATCTAAGACTATTTAGATACTCTGGTGTGTAGAATGTGTTCTCCTCATCTTCTTCAATATCATCATTTTCTATGCTGTCGTAGCTGAGATATTCCTTCATTTCACCTTATACTGTAGAGAGCACATATGCATTGACTTCATCTACAGTTTCATTTCTTGGTGTTAGAATTGCTCGTTCTCGTAAATATCCTTTATTAGCAAAAGAAGATTTAAAATCTTCGAATGTGGAGTGGAAGATCTTTTCCAATGGTGCCTCTGTAGTGGGTATCAATAGCTCTTTGCTAACTTCTACAATGTCTTTATCATAACTGTCTGTAGAAGCTGAATCCACTTTTTTAGCTGCTCCGTCGCCTACTTTCAAAATCCAGCTTGAAAACTCTTTTTCTCCTGGTTTTAATCGCATGTTTTGCTGTAGAATGCATACATTGCGTTTCTCCCAAAGATATGACCTATTAATTGTGGCCATAACAGTATCTTGCCTACTACCTTGTGGGATGACTGGCAATATTTGTCAGAAATCTCCGCCTAGTAACACTGTGATTCTGCCAAATATTTTATCAGTAGCTAATGGGTCATTTTTACTCATGATATCTCTGAGCGTACGGTCTAGAGCTTCGAAAGTGTGGCGATGTGCCATTGGTGCTTCATCCCAGATTATTAACGAAGTCTTTTCAAGCAATTCTGCTAGCATCGTTTTTGGCTTTATATCACATATGGAATGTTCATGTAAATCAATGGGAATTTTGAAGCGATAGTGTGCTGTTCTACCACCAGGTAGTAGTGTTGCAGCAATGCCTGAAGTAGCTACTGGTAGTACGATTCTTTGCTCAGATCTTAATCTGGAGATAAGTGTTCTGTACACATATGTTTTCCCTGTTCCTCCAGGCCCGTAGAGAAAGAATAGTTTCCCTTTCGAGTTGTTTATGGAATCCAAAACTGAATTGTATATGGACTGTTGGTCTGAATTCAGAGTGCGTAGTAGTTTTGCATGCTCTTTTTCTTCCTTATAAATGTCGTAGTTAAGCTCATCTGTAATTAGGGAGTTTCTTAACTCGAGCATTATATTTCTCTCCAATTTAGGCAACTCTGGGAAATCGGCAAGCGATTTATCCTTCTCAATGAGTAGTTTCTGTAGTTGTAGCAATGTATATTGCTGGACTTCCTTATCAGTCAAGTTGTACTCATTGAAATTGAAATTTTTGCGCATCTTGTAAGCTATATCCTCTCCAAATTCTGGCCAGAATTTTCCCCACAACTTTCCAGGGTCTGTTACCTCACAAAAAATCAATAATGTGATGAACATATCTCTTAGCTGGAATGCGGATGCCCATCCGGAAGCCTCCTCCATTGCTTCATGCCACTCTTTGTCTCCATCTAATAAACCCATTGCATGACAAGCTTCCTTATTTCTTTCATATGTAACATTATCAACTGTGCGAATGCTCTTGTAGCTGGTTGGTCCTTTGACATGATTAATTAGAAGCCTTAAATAGTAAAGATCCCCTGATGCTGGATGAATGTTAACAACCCTACCAATGGTATTACCTATCGTCCTCAAGGTCCATACTTTATCTGATAAATTCCAAACAAACGCTGATGGGAATTGACATAAGTGAGGGTTCGTGCTATTGGACAACGTTTGTTTGTTTCCATCCATTCTGTAAACATTGTCTTCCATATACCCACCCGTGATACAACCTCTGCCGGTGATTTCGATTCATCGAATACAACACTTTTCTGGCCTTCAAGATGTAATAGTAATTTCTGCACAGCTGGCCATTGTTGGTGAATGTCAAAAGCAAATATACGTCAAGTTGCTTCGCATGCTGACAAATATCGACATTTTTGATATTTTGAATCTCATCAACTACTATCAGGTCTTATTTTTATCTTGGTTGTACGCTCGAGGTATCTCTATTTTTCTCAAACACTATAATTGCCTTATCAACACCTTTGGTGATGTACTTGAACAAATATTTTATTGCTTTTGAAGTGCAACACCATTCCACGTTAATGTGTGACTTGTATTTTTTAAGCAAATCCATGTTGTGGGGGATGACATAGCGGTTGTCAAGTGTAGTTTCACCCTTCATAATGAATTTTCCCTCATCTTCTCGCCGCTTGTAAACAATATACCCATTTTTATCGACCGTTGTTTCCGTGGAGAATGGCCGTGGGTATTTTTTGGTGCAAATACCATTTTCCATACATGGAGATTGGAGTCTTTGTACACCACACGGTCCATGCATGATATGTTTCTTCACTAATTCATATCCTTCTGGATCAATTTTTTTATTCGGGATTTCAGCAGTGATGAAGTCATCAATTGTTGATGGGTTAGGATTTTGTGGAGTGTCCTCTAACCACAACAGAATGTGTGCATGTGGAAGACCTCTTTTTTGAAATTCTATGGTGTATACAACTGAAAAGTTAATGGTGTATTAGTTTATTTTGTTAAAACATTTTGTATTTTTGTGTAATGATTATATTATATGTAGGATTTGTATTGACAAAGTATTGAAAGACTTAGTACCTGCACGAAGATATCCAAAGACTTTGCTTTCTTTGAATTCTGAAATCATTTGATCTAACTTCATCTTGAATACACGAGAAGCTACATCTGGTCTTTCATTGGCCGAGTCGTTTCCGTAACGGTGAATATGGGTTTCTATTTCTTGCCATGCTGGATTAGCTGTAATCGTGACGAATAGATGGGGATTACCAAAATATCTGCAAATTGCCATTGCATCATGATAATTTTCTATCATGTATCTTGGTCCACCTGTAAATGATGCTGGTAAGATTACTCTTTTTCCTAGCTCTTTTGAATTTGTATCCCCCCTCCCTATTGCATCTCGGACATTATTGTACAAGTCTGCTCTGAGTTGCTTTTGGTTTAATCTGTTGAATTTCAACCGTTCTTCCTCAACTGCCGTGTACGCATCCACAACAAATTGATGGAAAAGCCTACCTCCTTGTATTAATATTTTCCCTTCCTTTAGTCTAGTTTGAATTTGATAAGCGTAGAACTCATGAATTGTAACATCAGCTCTCTTTATTTGACTTCCTGGGATTCGCCTATATGGGATTCCCAAATGGAATCCACTATCACCGTATGGGAAAAGGAGTGGATACTTGAGGGACATGTAATGCTGGTGTAGTGTGCTTATCCGTTGAAGTTTTTGGCTTTGATATTCAACTATGACGTCTCTTTCACCATTCGAATCTGGACTGGCTACAATTAAACCAGCTAATTCATCGCCAGTTGGCAAGTCATATTGCCTTCCCTTCTCTGATTGACCAACCAGGCGGATCGTGAACTCTTCAATGCCACCAGAATTGTATTTGTCCCTTGCTTTCCTAAACTCTTTTGCTAGATGATTGTGCTCATCTAACATCCGAACCAGTTTCTCAACCACTTTTTTGTCGATCTTGTCAGATTCTTTTCTAGATGACAATGTTCAGATCCTATTCTGTATCTCATTTGCTGTATCATAAATGTACAACTGTATGAATTTAGGTGGTGTACCTTCTGGTGGAATTAGAGATCCCATTTTATGGTGGTTTTGGCCCGATATTCTGTAAGTATATGGTCCACGCCCATCCATAACTGAATTGTCTACTTTTGCACCGACGGATGCGAATGCAAGTAGCGAATTGAGAACCTTTATTTTTTGCCTGAATTGAGCCCTTGTGAGCATGTCTGCTAATTCGCTTGGTGGCTCTTTAAATGGTGGCAGTAGGACCCTTCCTTTTTGACAACAGAGTGGGTATAATAGTTCACCACTTAAAGATCTCTCTGTGCTCTCAGCTTCCCAAACTAAAGCTCCACACATTATGCATTCTTGTAATTCGTTTGGACTCCCCCTTTTTGGTTTTGGACGGCCTAATTGAGTGGTCAGTGGATTAGCTATTTTTTAATTGATTGTTTATTGAGAATAAGAACTCATTTATGATCTTACATTTCCGTAGGGGAGGTTTCGTTCATGATGCCAAAGGATTTGTGATGATTCCCTCTTTCTGTACTGTTTTCTCTGTTGATATTTTATATGACATGTAAAACATTAGTGTGTTGGCTGGAGGTTGTAAAGTGACAGAGAATAAACGTAATACCATTATCTTATCAGTTTTGCATCATTATAAAATATTAAAAAGAAAACAGACATACTAATCGTGAGGCTGATTTTTGCAGTGTGTTTTGAGTGGCTCATCAACGTTTTGTCTCCGGTGGAATCTGTCACAGTAGATTTATGTTTTTTTAAATTTTATTCTGTAGATTAAAATCAGGAGTGCTTCCTTAAAAAATGGTTAATGTTGGTTTTTGAGGTTGCTGTACCATTGTGCTTTCTAGCATTTCTTTTTCTTCTCAAAATTTTCATCCGTGTTTTCCTTGCTAAACACGTTATCTCTGCATCATGAGGGATCACATTCAATGTAGTATTGGTGGTTGACGTAAGTTTAATACATGGTCAAATATTGTTAGTTTTTCATATATTTGCTGTTGCTTGTCTATTTCTTACACCGGATTTTGTATTGTGTTTACAGAAATGCATACCTTTATAGTTACTTGCTTCTATGGGTGACCGCATTGGTGGAAGTTGTGACCTAATTGTTGTTCCTGTCTCCATCCCCTCACCTATATATGCAGATTACATTGTAATTGCTTCGTTGATAAGTAATACTAAATGAATTTATAACACTTTTTTGTTGACGGTATTTCCACACTTTGGACGTCGTCTTACATTGTTTTAGAATATTGTTTTGAATATAATAAAGATGTATCAAACATAATTACTATTTCAATTAACTTAAAGTCTAGAAATCAGTTTGTTACGTACATTGTTTTAGAATATTGTTTTGAATATAATAAAGATGTATCAAACATAATTACTATTTCAATTAACTTAAAGTCTAGAAATCAGTTTCTTACGTTATACCGAAAGTGTATTTGCAAAAAAAAACCATAATTGACAATACATGTTATCATTTTAAAATAATTAATAAAGTTGCCTACACTATACTTTTTTTGTTAAATTTAACATATATTCTGCTAAGTGTAATCGGTTTTGATTATAAGCACACAATATTTGCGTGTTAATGTGTATTCAGCTGCTGGATAATGTTAGTAGCTATTTTGTATTTGAATGTACCTTTTCTTTTAGAGATCATAATCGTCCTCCTCTTTGCCCGGTTGTCCTTTGAAGATTGTTCCCCATACAGTAGATGTTTTCTTTTAAGCGACTCCATCTCCTTCTAGTAACCTCGTAAATGTTATATTTTTCTTTTAGAAATTATATATATATATATATAATGTTGATCTCGTAAATACAAGAATTTTATGAACTGGATTATAGTGATATGGTTGCAGTGGGTTAAAATAAAGTTTAGTGAGATAAATTTTGAGCACAATTAGTTGGAGTAGTAAATAAAGCGATGTTATTTTTATACTTCTGTTACTCGATGTCCTTTGTTACTTCTGATAGGTAATCTTCTGGAAATCCATTGAATATAGTTGTGTTCTTGGTTGTGGAAGCTATAACAAAGGTGATCGATGTTCAATTCACGGTGAAGAAAATAGTTAGGATGAAATGTCCCATGATGTAGGACGTATATTATATGTAATGAAAATGTGTTAAAAAGTTAATCTTTTTCCATGTTTTGTGGAATATGTAGGGATGAGAAGATTGTTTAAAACTTGCTTTCGTTGTATGCTTGAAGCTTCATCTGTGTTGGTGTTCACCTCCGTTCCGATTTCTATTGTAGGGTAAAATTAGCAGAAAGTGTTAAACTGAATACACTGATCTTCTTATATTTGACATTTTGACACTCCTAATCGGAACAGTTATTCCCTTCACTCTTTGATTTCTTTGGACTGAAAATGTAACGTCATATAATTGTTTCTCTAAATTGATTTATTGGAATGCTCCAGGCGTTATTAGTTTAAATATTATACGTGTGAAATGAAAGAGTCATATTGAAGGCGAATGTTACGTGAGTAATTTTTGATTATCCAGTAAACTCAATCTTCGTATTTGTAGTCATTGATGTGAGGATTATTTTGTAAATTGTAGTTTTGTGTGTGATGTGTGTTATCTATTTGTGTATATTCTATTTTTTATAAATTAGTTTTATTATGGGGCGTTATATTATGTAAAGTATTCTGTATATATTTTGTTATAATTTTAAGAACGGCTGTTTACATTTTCTGCGAACTGGTGAACTTTGTTTTCTGAATTTTGCAAGGTCGATTATGTTGATAAGTTCTCAGTGTTTCGTGCTGCACAACCTTTTATTTTAGTTTGTATTATTTTGTATCTTTTCCAATTTTTTTAATCCAACTTCAGTTTCTAGCTGTCATGGAGATCGCAGGTCATGTGTATATTAAGTTACATACGTGTAACAGTTTTGGAATATATATTGTTTATTTTTTGGAACTGGATTTGGAATGATTAATGTTCTTAATTAATTGCCTGTCATTGTGTAAATTATTTTAAGATTGAAGATGCTGTTATCTCTGGCCTTATCACTTTTAAACTTTTTGGTCTCAATTAGTTTCCATTACAAATTATTACTGATAACCTATAAGATGCATGGAGGAGTATCTGTATTATTATTTAAATTTTTTCTTATTTTGCAGTGTAAAATTTGTATGTTGTTCGGGATTCCACGTCTTTGTGACGTTATTGCTGCATTAATTTTTTACCGTACTTTCATTACAATAATATGGTCAAAAATTACATAACTTGCCGTCGGTTTTGGAAGAGAGTTGGTCTGCCCTAGCAGCAGTTTTGTTTGAGTTGCTGTTGTTATTTTTGGGGTTATTTTGCTGTAAATGGTTACTTGTAATTTGTAGCAATGTAAATTGCTATTTAGTAATTAATGGGGTTTCAAAATTTAAAGTGACGCGGAATTTAAAAAAAAAAGATATTTACTATTAGTTGTCCCTCTTTTTGAGGTACACTCTTGTAAATTTCATGTCTTTCTTTGATTTTAATTATTGAGGAGTTTGACCAATTTTTAATTGTCTAATTTTGCAGATTAGGTTATTTTTATATTCGGTAACTGGTGAGGTCAATAGAGGGCTTGTCGTTACTTAGACGTCTATACACTTAATTAGTTAAAGTTGTAATATTCTTAATTTTATGAGATGGTTAATCTTAGAGGAGTTGGTATTGATGAATGATGCATATTTTAGAAATTATTAAATTTAAAGCGTCAAAAGATAGCAATCCTAATGGTTTATGTAGAAAGAGAAAATAAATGAAAGAAACAATTAACTTGGAATATAAAAGATAAGTAAATTATAGAATGTCTTGATTTTCCATGGAATAAGGGATTTATTCGCTCCAAGTGTTTTCAATGTGTGCGTTGCTTCTTGGATTTCACTTTTGAGGAATGGGATTCATTCGTATCAGCACTCTGTAATTTTCCAGATTGAGTAATGTTCTCTTTCTTTGAATCAGGCAACTTGGTTTTGTCCTCTTTGTGAATAATAAGAATAAGAATAAGATAAAGGTAAAAGGTAAAGAATTTTATATAAAAAAAAGAATAAGGTAAAGATTGTGTGGATGTTGTGTGTGTAGTTTAATATACAATGGTTTATTTTGTTAATTTATTAAAACCTGTGCGTGTGTGTGCTTTCCGATAGTACTTCAGCATAAACAAGTGTTTCTCCCACCGGGATTGATTCCTTTTCGATGTCGTTGATGTTGTATGTCAGGTCAGACAGATTAGGGTTGAGTATTTCTTCTGTGATTACTTCCTGGTTAAAGCGATAGTTTGTAAGCCAATAGTAATTGTTAAATCTCTGAAAAACGAGAATTTATTTAACTGAAATATTACCTCAGCGTGGCTCCTATTTATTTCACGAAGTACCCTTGACACGGTGAAGGATTGGAAGGATGATTTGAAGTTGAAGTTTGTGATTTTTACTTGAAAATCCATTGTCTTTCCAACCAAGTCAGTTATGCATGGGGGAATATTGTTGCGGTTCGATCCGTTATCACCCGCCCTGGCCTGCAACAAATATATTGTATTGTAAAAATGAACAGTGTCTGTGCTGTATATAAATTTGATGTCATTGTAATGCATCGGTTTCAGTTGAGGACCTCGTTAATATCTTCAGCAGTTGTGTTAGTCAATTTGCGAGTGTCTCTGTCGAAAATCACAAAGTTAGTTTTCTCTCCGGCATCAACAACTACCAAGTCCACTCTGAATCTGTATAAAAAAATGAAATATGGAATTTGTTTTTTGCCAACATTTATGATATGTAGGTTATTTAAATTACAATATTTCGTTAGGAGTTTCTTACGTTAAAACACCTATGGCGTTAGTGTCGTTGCAAGTTGTACAAGTGAATGAAGATAGTCCACGGACAAGTTTTTTTGAGCATCTTCCACACGCCACATAATTCCAACCATTTCTGGTGTTTATGCTAGCAACTGTTGCTCTGCATATGACTTTCTTTTCCTATTAAGATGGTTTAAGTAATAATGAACATTAATCCATTTTAATTAATTTTTTTATTTATTTTAGAACAAATCCTGTTGTGAAGAAATAATCATCTTATAAGAAAATTTGGGTACCTGTTTTGCAGAAGACCTAGCGTATTCCAACAGTGATGTCAGTGTTGATTTTTCAAATGTTTTCTGGGCCATTTCCTCATTTTGGACTGATGGCCGCTGGTTGATCTTATTTTTACCGACCCTGTGGATTAATATTATAATATGTGTCGTTACAAAAAGTTGTGGAGGCGTTAATTCATCTTGTGCAATTTATAATTTATCTTTTCGAGAAATCTTTGATAATTTGAAGTCCCTTGTCGAAAAAGAACTTGGTTGCGCCTGTGGAATTCAAGTATAGGGTACCTGTATAGAAGCACAGTAGTTGTTCATATATATTGATTAGGGAGCGGAAATGAGTAAAGTAAGAATTTTTAAAAGTGTTGACGATAATTGTGATGTTATTGCATATTGCATACATTTTGCATACTCATTAGTTAGCTTTTCATGCATTTGTATCACGTTTTAGGTTAGATTGCATCACTTAGGGTCCTAGAGCATTCTTGCATCAGCATACGCATTTTCCTTGCATTTTGCATCATATTCAGGTTGTTTCTGGCTGCTTTGGAGTCGTGGAGGTTCGTGGACATGTTGAAGCTGATGTAGCAGTTCGGGGGAGCTCGGATATATGCTAAGGATCAGAGATCGAGGAGCAGATAGAGCATGGCCGGTCGATCTAGGAGTTGATCGACCAGAAGATCGAGCCAACCAGGCGATCCAAGAGATCGAGACAAGGATTGAGTGAAGCAATCGATCAAACGGTACAGACGTAAATGACGCCATGCAGAGCGAGAGTCAGATCGAGTACACCACTCGATCCAGCCAAAGATCGATACCGAGATCGGATGCAACACTCGATTTGCCGATGATGATCGAGACCCAGATCAAGCCAAAAACACGATGTCCGGATTTGATCGAGAGAACCGCTCGATCTTGGAATCGATCTCTGTCCTTTCAACCGTTTTTGGCCGCTAGCGAGGGGGGGACCATCAGCTTGTTTCGGCATTTTGGGAAGGCGGCGACGTCCTTTTCCCACAACAACTTTAGATCCTTACTCTTTCCTTATGTTTTTCTCTCTCGTTTTTCGTGAAAAACACCATTGTTGAACTCGCGCTTTTCTTAAGCTTTGTAATCGAATCATTTCCGTTTCAATCTAGTTTTCTTTTCATGTTCATCGTCTCGCTTTACATGCTTTGCTTGATTTACTCTATGTGTAGCGAGTAGTTTATTTGGGTTCGGGGTTGAGAGGATTAAGGGGTCTAAAGGGTTTCGATCTTGGGGTTTTTCTAAACGTTTTCAATGGCTATCTCTTCTAAGGTGTTGAGATCTCAATGCTTGAAGACTCTCACGCCAAGAGCTTCATGATCCGAGAGGTTCCTTACCTTGACAGGATTCAGGAGCCTCGGAAGATCACACCTTAGAGACTAGTTACCCCTTCCCAAAAGCCATGAAAGTTTGGGGGATTAGTTAAGCCATTCGTTTGAAATCTGTTTTCCTTGCCCTTCGACCTCTCTTTCCACCAAAAGCCATGGGTTTGGAGGAGAGGATGAAGGAGTGATCTATACCGAAAGCCACGGATAGATCTTGCTTAGTTTTCAAGGCTTAGAGATCCTCACCAAGTGAGTCGATTTAAAGTTTTAAACCCAAGGTCGAACCTTTGAAACTCCTGACCATGAATCTCAACCCTAGGCCTTTTCTCTTAGCATCTTTACATCTTATCTCGTCTTTTTCTTGATCTCTGATAGCATCCTGGTCCTTAGTTTTACTGTTCTTGCATTTTTAGACGAGATCGATTGTTACTGCTCGATCTAGTGGTCGATCTCATGGTCGATCCACTAGTCGAATTTTAATAATTCGAAGCTTTCTCCTTTAATTATTCTGTTTGTTTTTCGTGGTAGTTTCTCCCTTTCTAGTATTTTTAAAATAGGTTTCATTCCATTTAAGTTGCTGCATCTAGTTTTTAGAGATTTTCTCATAAATCATCTCATTTCGCTTAGATTTGCATTAGTCCTTGTATTCTTTGTGCATTCTCTATCATCCTAGGCATGGATTGACTCTCTCTTGCTTGCTGTACTACAACATGTCTTGCATTTGAGTTTGATAACCTCACTGCAATTTAACCCTTGCCCAAAAAAGTGTTTATCAAATGGCGTCGTTGCCATCCTAGGACTGTTTTAGAGAACATAGAGATTTGGGACTTAGCAAAGACTAAGTCTTTACCTTTTCAAGTTACTAATCCTTCTACTCTCAAACGTGTGTTTTCAGGTACATGAATCTTCGTTCAAGGGGAGATAATAATCTACTACAACCCTTAGACAACATTCATCAACTTGGTCACTCACGGCAAAGGAGAGTCAGAGAACAAACAAGAGCCTTTGAGGAGATTGTACAGCACGGTTTGGTTGACTTTGAAGCTATGGCTGAACACGAGCATCCAGAAGGACCTCCTCCAGCTCACGGGGCAGCAGGACGGGGCAATGGAAACCCCCAACACGCAGCTAGACCCCCAAGGATCATAGGAGCCGGAGATGCTCCCAATACTCATCAAAATAGGTTTGGGATCACTCCTCCTCCTGTGCAAAACAATAACTTCGAGATCAAGCCAGGTTTCATCTCAATGGTGCAAAACAACAAGTTCCACGGCTTAGCAATGGAAGACCCCTTGGAGCACCTAGACAACTTCGAGCAAGTATGTGGGATGATAAAGATCAATGGCATATCCAAAGATGCTTTCAAGCTGCGTCTCTTCCCCTTTTCACTCGGAGACAAAGCCAGACATTGGGAGAAGACCCTCCCACAAGGCACCATCACATCATGGGCCGAGTGTAAGAAGGCTTTTCTCTCAAAGTTCTTCTCAAGCACCAAGACAACACGGTTGAGAAGCGAAATCAGCGGTTTCACTCAAAGGAACAATGAGACATTCAACGAGGCAATGGAGCGTTTCAAAGACTACACGATCCAATGTCCTCATCACGGGTTCAGCGAGGAGACACTACTCAGTACCATATACCGTGGAGCTTCACCAAAGATCAGGTTGTTGCTTGACACAGCTAGCAAAGGGAACTTCCTCGGTCAAGAGGTAGAAGAGGGTATGGAGCTGATAGAAAACTTGGCATTGACTGATGACAATTACGCTGAGGATTATGACCGTGCACCGAGAGGATCAGAGTTAGAGTCTCAAAAGAAGGAGCTGAAATCTTTGCATGAGAAGATAGATAAGCTGGTGTTAGCCAATCAGAAGCATGTTCACTTTGTTGGTGAAGCTGATGAGAACCAAGAGGAGTTAGAGTTGAGCCAAGAAGAAGCCAATTGGGTGGCGGGACAGAACAACTACAAATCTCAAGGCTACAACCAAGGCTACCAGAACAACAACCTCTCTTACCGAAGCACCAACGTAGCCAACCCTAAAGATCAAGTGTACCCTGCTCAGCAAGCAAAACCTTTCATCTCTTACAACAAAGGTTTTCAACCGAGTGGTGGTTTCCAAGGTCAAGGGCAGAACAACTTCCAAGGGCAACATCAAAATAACAAGGGTTATACACCTAACTACCCTCCGGGCTTTGCACCTCAGCAGCAACAACCGATGCAACAACAAGTTGATCCGGTTCAAGCAATGTTTCAACAGCTAATACAAGGGCAAGAATCTACAAACCAGAAGTTTGCCGAGATGAACACTCGTCTAGACTCGTCTCTCACTGACTTCTCCACTCAGATCACCAACTTAAACAACAAGATCAAGCAGCTAGAGAAAGGGAAAGCGAGTACGAGTGGTCAGAACAGTCTTTCGGGAAAGTGTGAGCAGAATCCCAAGGAGTATGCTAATGCCATAACGTTGAGAAGCGGTAAAGAGCTCGAACCTCCGGTCTCTACAAAGAACAACGAGGACGTTGAAATTCAAGAGGGGGAGGGTAAACCTTCGGCTGATGATGATGAGATTAACTTTGACAACGTTTGGATCCAAGGGCCAAGAAGAGGAGACAAAGCAGTTGCTGAGAAGAAAGCTGAGCAAACCACTAAGGAGAAGAATGCTTATGTGCCTACACCTTAGGTACCTAAGCTGCCTTTTCCTGGCCGCTTCAAGAAGCAACTCATAGAGAAGCATAGAATCCTCTTTGAGAAGCATCTTAAGGACGTGGAGATCAAGCTACCTCTCGTTGACTGCCTTGCAATGATGCCTAAATGCGCCAAATTCTTCAAAGACACTCTCGTGAAGAAGAATAAGGAAAGCAAGGAGGTACTTGTTCTAAGTGAAGAGTGTAGTGCTGTAATACATAAGGAGATAGTCCCTAAGAAGTTGGGAGACCCTGGAAGCTTCACTATACCCTGCGCTTTAGGTCCTCTAGAGTTCAAGAGTTGCTTATGTGATCTCGGAGCTAGCATAAACCTGATGCCTCACTCCGTGGCTAAGATGCTTGGTTTTACTCGTTTCAAAGACTGTCGGATCTCGTTGGTACTTGCTGATAGGAGTGTGAGGCTACCAGTGGGGCTGCTTGAAGATTTACTGGTGCGAATCAGTGGTGTGAACGTGCCTACAGACTTTGTCGTGTTGGAGATGGATGAAGAGCCTAAGGATCAACTCATCTTAGGGAGACCATTCCTTGCAACCGCCAGGGCTATCATAGATGTGAAGAATGGGAAGATTGCCTTGCATTTGGGAAAAGAGATAAGGCTTGACTTCGACATCAATGAGGTTCTGAAGAAGCCGACCATTGAAGGGCAAGCTTTCTATATTGAAACGATGGATGCTTTAGCGGATGAGTTGCTGGAAGAGCTGGCTCTAGAAGACCATCTGAAGCTAGCACTGACTAGGAGCCAGGGGAGTTTGGCTATGTGGACCAGAGGCCGCAGGAGTACGTCAACCTGCTGGATTCTAGAAAGATTGTCAAGAAGGATGAAAGTTGCTGCCTAGAGATCGACCCCGAGATCGACGCTATCACTCGATCCAGGAGTCAAATCGACAAGGCAATCGAGAACACAACTCGATCCTGTGCGACAATCGACGGACAGATCGAGAGGAATGCTCGATCAGGAAAAACAATCGAGTCGACGATCGAGAGAGACCTTCCGATCATTTTGGGGTCCAATCAAGAGATCGA